CACCCCGAAACCCTTCAGATTTTTTATTTTTTTTTCTCCCCCCCTTTCGTATTGGAGTGTAATTCCTCTCAGGCCGGGGAGGGAGCCACACATCCTCTGACACGGCTTTTATAGGAAGCGTGTCACAAATGCTCAGCAGATCAATTTTGTTTCCACTTTCACCCCCTGAGACGCACATAAGGAACCTCTCAGGCTTTATGAGAAATACATTTTTACCTTCCACGTAATGAGTCCAGCATGTCACGCGGCCCGGGGACCACGGACCCACCTCCTCATATTTTTATTCCAATACGAGTGACTGGTATTTATTTAAACTAATTCCGACTCATTAGATGTAATTTCTGCTCTATTCGGTCGTCGTTTTTGTTTGAATTCTGCTTAGTTGCTCTCAGATGTTTCATCCGTCCTCTCTCAACGAGGTCTCAGCTAAAATCGCCATTTATCAGCACTCTAGCTCCACCGGTTTCACTAGCGGCAGATTAATGTCCCGTTGTGTAGACAGAGACTCCTGCACGGGGCTCATTTAGTCTGACGGAAGACAGCCATCGACACCGGCTGTCCTGGAGGAGCGAGGGGAGGCTGAGAAATTGACATGAGAGAGTGATGTGAGAGGACCTCATGACAGCTCGCACCTTAGTTTTCCAGTGGAAGAAAAAAAAACACCAATCCTAAACCAATAAATGCCACATTTTTAGATATTTTCCTGTAGCTGAGACTAGTCATTCCTGCAATAAATCCCTTTATCTAGAAGTAAAGCGTCCGTTCTAGTTGTGACATTATTTGTTTTTAATTGTTCGAATTTTCGACAGGAAATTATTTTATTTCCTAGTTTTATTCCCATCACGGCTTATCCTGATGGAGCTTTTTTTGTCTTAATACTCTTAATGTGCAGGTTTTGATGTTACATTTGGTTTTGAATGACAGGGAGATAAAAGCTTGACACTCCTGACCTTGTGGTATTATTTAAAGATCTGTTAATATCTCGTGTCAAGTACAAGGGTGCGTATTTATTGATGTGGGTTGATGCCTTGGAAACATTCTGATGTAATTTTTCAAGGAGACGCTTATATAAGAGGGCTACAGCGCTGAAAGCTAAGGCTGCTTGGATCCTGAGCAAACACAAGAGGAAGGGGCCAGAATGGCTTATTAATCACTTTTCTCCTCCCTCTTCAGCGCTTGGCAGCAGGGCTAAGGGTGTCCATTGTAAAAAAGCAAGTCTTGAGGAGACTTTTCCCTCGCTTGACAGAAATAATGACTGCGTTTATGCCAAGGTTGATAAGGGAAGTCTGCGAGGACTCAAAAGCAGGGAGACGTGAAACTAACCTGTGTAATCGCAACACTTTTTAAGCATTAATTTAGTATCCACCATCTCGAGCTATAAATATAGCGTCCTTATCTTAAGTACCAGATTTGTAGAGCATGAGAAAACTAGTTTTAGAGTCTATCTGGGTGCATTCTTGTTTGTAAAGCAAGAAGTTTGTGAGGTAATGCATCACACAGCAGTGTGTGCTGAGAGGCATTAGCATAGGCCAAGACTGGCTAATCCTACTGGGCCCATATTTTACTTGTATTATGTATGTGTGTGTGTATATATATATATATATATATATATATATATATATATCGTCCAACTCTACATGGTTAAAGTTCATGTGCACCAATGTTGTGCTAATGCTATCATGCTGCTATGTTGTTGTTGTGCTAAAGCTAAGCTAGCAGCCTTCGAAAAACACTTAACTCTGGCACAGAAATGATTAGCATTCTCATTATATGACCCTAACCCTAACCCTAACCCATGTCCGGTATGTTTTGTTATTTGGTAGGCAAATTCATTTTGAGGCACATCAATGTTAGCAATT